TGGTCTCACTAAGTGGCTTAGGGCCTTGCTAAATTGTTGAGGTTGGCCTCGAACCTGCAATACTCCTGCCTCAGCCTCCCAATTCACGAGATTAGAGGCATGAACCACTTATGCCCAGCCCACTCCAACTTCCAAATTCTAAAATTTGTGTTTGCAGGCTGGGGATATAGCTCAGTTGGTAGAGTGCTTACCTCACATGCATAAGGCCTTGGGTTCAATCCCAAGCACCACAAGAAGGAAAAAACAAAAAACAAAACTTGTGCTTGTATAGTGTATCTTTTTCCATCTTTCTTTTAATCTACCTGTGTAATCATATTGAAGTGAGCTTCATATGAGCAGTAGATAGTTGGGTCTTGCTTTTTTTTTTTTTTAACTCCCATTCAAAAATTGTTATCTTTTAGTTGGTGGATTTTTATGTAGTAATGAGTACATTCGTGTATATATGGAGAAAAGGAAATTTAGGTTTCCTTTTGTACTTTTGGCAGTGTTGGGGATTGGATCCAGGGTCTCATCCATGCTAGCCAAGTGCTGCACCAATGCGCTACATCCCCAGCCCTATGTAAAAAGACAGGGTTTCACTATGTTGATCAGGCTGACCTCAACTACGGGGCTCAAGGGATCCTCCTGCCTCATCCTCTCAGATAGCTGGGACTACAGGTGCACACACAAACAGGGCCCAGCTCTGTTATTATGTGTGAACTGTGCTGGGAACCCAGGGCCTCATGCATGCTAGGCCAGCACTCTGCCACTGAGCCACATCCCTAGCTCCTAAACATCCCAGGTTGTCCTTGGATTTGCAATCCTCCTTCCTCAGGCCAGGATTACAGGAAGGTGTCAGGGTGCCCAGCATGTTTTGTTTTTGAAGAATATGCTTTTTTTTTTTCTTTTTAAAATATTTTTTGGTTGTAGATGGATATAATGCCTTTATTTTTTTTATTTATTTTTATGTGGTGCTGAGGATGGAACCCAGTGCCTCACCCATGCTAGGCAAGCGCTCTACCACTGAGCCCCAGCCCCAGCCCCTGTTTTGTTTTTCTGATTGAAGGAACCCAGGGCCTCTTACATGCTAAGTCTGGGCTGTACCACTGAGCTACACACCTAGTCCTAGGCAGTGGTTTTCATAATCAGGGTTTTTTTTTTTTTTTTTTTTTTCTGTTGGCTTGTTTATTTGTTTGTTTTGTTTTATTTGTTTTTGGTGCTGGGGACTGAACCCAGGGGAGCTTAACTCCTGAGCCACATCTCCAGCCCTTTTTATTTTATTTTATTTATTTTTTTAAAGAAAGAGAGAGAGAGA